CGACCCAGGATTTTTCAGCTTTAAATTGTGACAATAAGCCGGTAGTTGGGCAAACGATGCTTCTGGCGACCCCCTCAACAATTCCAATGCATAACATTTGGCTCTCCAAGCTTGAGAATATGAGATACTAATCTTGAACCGAGCATTCATGTCAGTCATAATTTCATGTCCCCGATATACCCTACCATTCAAAAACATTAACTCAGCCAGAAAACCACCCAACACCTTTTTGTTTGCCTGTCTATGGTGAGGAAAAACTTGGGTTCTTGAACATGTATGTTTATCAATAAAAGTCCTAACTTGAAAAATTTTGCAATCTTTTATCCTCTTTGCAATCATACGCCACATAAAGTTTTTGTCAATCATACACCTTGTTTCGAAACGATCTTTGCTTGATTTGTTAACTTTTAGTTGATAGCCATCTTCCACACATTTCGTATACAAAGCTATCTTCAAGTCTTCCTTTGTATCAAAACAATCATCTTTCTTGATACGAATAATTTTTGTGTAACAATCAACTGCTATCTTTACCAACTCTTCTTCCGGTATCTGAAGTAATTCTGGCATATTCCAGTTATACTCCCGTGGTATTTTCTTCGGGGACTTTTCTTTGGGGATTTCTTCTTCTTCTTTTTCTTCTTCAGTGTTATATGAATTACAGAATGGATGTTCAACATGTTCATTTACAGTCGTAACTTCCTCCTCATTATCATCAACAACATCTTCCTCGGCAACGGCTGTTTCATCATTAAAATTCAGGTATTGACCAATATCAAAATCATTATACGCAGGGTCTGTTTCTTCTTCTGAAAAATCATCAAAATCTGAGTATTGACCAAGATCAAAGTCCGGGTATTGACCAAGATCAAATTTCAAATACTGACTAGTACTCATATTTTTTTTTGTTGGCTCATCATCGTCTAACTGGTCAATACGAAAACCGAAATTTGGTGCTGAAAGTTTATTGGGATTTGGATTAGGGAAAGGTTGTGGGTTTTGAGATTGTGTTTGGTATTGGAAATGTGGTGAAACAATATTTGCTTGGTGATGAAATTGTGGTGGAACCATTAAATTTTGAGCACCATAAACTGGGGTTGAAAAACTTAGTTGATTACTACCCGCTACTGACCCAACTTCACTACTTCTAGGTTCAACAACATACAATGTAACATCATCACTTGAAACACTAATGTAAGTAATGAATCATTCAACATCTTCATTGTCGGTTAACAAATAAACTTTACCATTTCTCTGATAAGATAGCCTAAATCCACTTAGGAGCTCTAAATTCAATTTATTTACAACACGTAACATTAGAGTTTCATAAGTTAACTTTTTTAATTACAGTTTTAGTTTAAGATTCATGGGTAAAGGCATATATTGTAAAACACCATGAACATTCTCCCATGACCCTCCAAAACACAAATCTATCCAAACATGATCAACACTAGATGATTTCATTATTGTAAATTAATTTACTAAACAAACGAGCTGCGAAACTAAAACTTGTTGTCGGATGGGGAAGGATGTCGTTGGATATAGGAACGGATGTCGCCAGAGAGAGTGATAGATGGAGATAGAATGAGTTGCGATTTAGGGATTTAGGTTATGAGTTGCTGCTGCTGCGTAGTTATATACCCAAAACATTTGTGTTGCGAAATTAAAACCTGTTGCGAATTCAGAAATCGAGTTGCGAATTTGAAATTCAGTATTGCGATAGTCAGAATCTCGTTGCGATTTACTAAATCGCAATGCGATTACGTAAATCGCAATGCGATTACGTAAATCGCAATGCGAATTAGGAAAATCACAACGCGAATTTGGGAAATCGCAATGCGATAGTCAGAATTGCGTTGCGAATCTGGAAACTGATTTGCGATACCGGAGATCGCGTTGTGAATTATCGATCGCGTTGCGATTTAGTTGGTCATTTTGGCAAATCCAAAAAAAGTTGGTTAAAATCGTATATTATAAGGCATTTTTTGTCACTGAGGTTATTTTCTCTTTAAAGAAATCTTAACACATGTATAGATGTACTGTGCACAATATATTAATATAAAAATAAGAAAAAATATATGAATTACAAATGGGAAAATCAAACATGCAGGTACTAAAATAAGTTTTAAAAGGCAAGTGCGTATATTTTTAATAAATCGAATAGATTATGAAATTAATCTATCGGAATAAATAGGGATAATTTGGTCTAATAAGTAAACAAACATAAAGGATAAAAATATAATGCAAATAAAATAAAATGCTCAAAATAATATGAAAGTAACCCAAAACAGAACTAAAATGCATTTAAAGCCAAAGTACAGGGATTACAAACATAAAATGCATTTCCTTTTGCATAGTAGCTAGTGACTAAAAATGAACCAAAAGAAAATATATGGGATGTGTACGAAAAATAAAAATTAGCAAATAAATCTTAATTTTAAAAATAATTGTTAATAATTAATAGTTAATATTAATGTTTATCAACAAAATTTACATAGGGACCAATATGAAATAAAAATAAAGCATGGCTACCAATTTAAAATTAAATAGGGAGGCAATAAAAAGGATCAGATTTCAAAGAGTGAAAATAGAGCATTTAAATTAAAGAAACAACAAAAATAGAGACTAAAATGCAAGAACATAGCAAGGCGTGGGGGACCTAAGATGATTTACCCAAAATACCCATGAGACAATATCTCCTCTGCTTTTTTCATTTTAAACGTGAACTAACCTAAAAGCAAAAACTATTCAACTATTATCTTCCTCTTTCTACTCCACAGCGCCGTACACCAAAACTAAACCCAACTTGGCCATGCTCCGATGATGGCCTTCCCCAACGCCTCAAAACCCGAAGCCAACGAGATTCTCGGTCCCAACTGAAAACAACATCGGCGAGATGAGTCCAACATCTTCTTTATATATATATATATATATATATATATATATATATATATATATATATATATATGCATGCAAGGAATAAAACGAAGAAAAAAAATTGATTACCTTGGATTCGAACTATTCTTTTTTCTATTTCTTTCAGAAATCTCCATTACATTGATTTTTGTTAGGGTTTTTATACCCATTACAAAACATAAATTTTTTCTTGCTGTTCGTTCCTCTCCCCTCCTTCGAATAAGCCTTCTCCATTTATTGCTTCTTTTCTGGTTCAGATCTGATAGTGGTATGATTTAAAAATAATAAAATCCAGATTTTCGAGATTTAATGCCACTAAAATATGTGTAGTGGATTCGTTGGGGATTTTGGCTGATTTGGTGCTTTTTTGAGTGATATTTGGCGTAGGTAATGACGTAGCATCTTCAGTGGTCCGGTGGCTCGTCATTGATGGCTTTGTTCGGTGGTTGGAACGTTCGACGCAGGTCTGAATCTGGATGGTCACTGGCAGCGGCAGTAGCTTAGGTTGGTTAGAAAACCCTAATCCAAAAATAGGTCATTTCGGGTCACGGGTCGGGTCAGTTCGTGGGCATCGGGTCTGGATCCATTTTTATGTTGGGTCTGCATCTGGGTAGGCCTGGTTCAGCTGCTGGACTTGTAATTTGCACTTGGATTGCTTGTACTGTAAATATTAATACTACTAATAATAATAATAATTAATAATATTTTTTTAATCCGGACAAAAATGGGTATCTATAAGTGATCAATTGTTTTTCAGGTGTGCATACTCTAGACAGATTTGGGGCAATATTTTTCAGGCTTATAACTTGGCAAGAGGCTGGTTATGGGATGAGATTAGGAGCTTAGATGACGTGCAGTAATGTTAGAGGGAAATCGTTGATGTCCATGTTCAGTTTGGCGTAGAAGGGATTCATGACTCTAAAATCGAAGGAAAGAAATCAGCGATATTTCCAGAGGGTGTACGATCTGGAGGCAAAGTTGGTGAGCAACTTGTGAGGCTGAAGGTTAAAGACTGAATATTTATTGTTTTATTTTGAATATTTGGTTCGTTGGCAGGCATTGGTTCTTTTGAAAATAATTTTTTTATATTGGGGTCAACTTAATCGTGGACCATTTCACTTGTATAACATATTTATATTTATATTATGATTTAACTTTGTCTCAAACTAACATATGGGTCATTGGACAACACCGTCACAAGGGTGGTGGAAATTAAATACGGATGGAACTAGAGAGGACAACACGTACTACACATCGTTCGGAGGAGTTATTCGAAATATCTCGGGTACATGGGTAACAAGTTTCACAAGGGAATTGGATGTTGCTCTATAGTTGAAGCCGAACTATGGGTAAATTTCGAAGGACTTAAACAAGCTAGTAACATGGATATACGGAAGATCATCCTTGAAGTAGATAATTTTAAAGTGTTTCGACTACTACAACCCCAAACAAACCAGGGCCCTTCAATAACGCTTTTAAACAGGACTCACGATATGATGGCGAAGGAATAGGCAATCTCCGTCGAGCATATTCGAAGAGAGGCAAATGTAATAGCAGAAAAGTCAGAGAAAATTGCTAGAACTAGCTCAATGGGTTGGCAAGCATTCCAGCAGTCACCAACAGAAGTTTTACCGCTTTAACAATTTGATTGCATTATCTGTAACCAAAACCTGTCTTCACCAAGCCAAAAGTACACTATTCACCAAAAAAATATATAATTTTTTCAATAACATAGATTATGATGCATAATCGTTAGTGACACTGAGATTATCATTCTAAATAGTCAATACCAATTAATCAATTGATCGAATATTAAAAAGATCGTGTATTAAAGAAAATACTTCATTCAAGTGACAATTTAAGATAAAAAAAATTAAATACCAATTTTAAGAAATTACCATCTTCAGTTTTCTATTTTTTATGAGAAATATTAAATATTGATAAAAATGCAGCTCAAACCCAATGCCAACTGACCACTTGGGAAAATTCGAAACAGTAATTCAAAGGATGGATGATCCCATGAGCCTCTCGGAAGGATAAAACATCCAAAAGGATAATTCGGTTTTAATCATTAATAAAAATCTATATGAAAAATTATGAATAAATGAGTCGTACAATTCATTAAATATATAAGTGCTTTTGATATGAACGTTGAATATGCACAAGGGTAAAAGCTATGTTACACAAGAGTATGAACATTACACAACAGGATTTACAGATCATAAGGATGACTCGCAAAGTAACGACCAATTTCGACACAGGATCAATATATGATGAAAAATAATGCCTTCCTTCCATAACCATGATTTGTTGCCCGTTTACCTTTATTGGCACCACACAAAATCTAGAGATGCAGCGTGCTTTAGTAACCTTCCTTCTTTCCAATGGCATCATCCCATGAAGCAAAGAAGATCGAAGGCTTAGCTAACAGCTCTTTTAGTCTCAATCTAGCTGAAACTCTATGACACTTTTTCAAAAACCGTTTAACCGCTGGTTTGACCAAATTTCATACTGAAGCACCAGTTCACTGATATTGAAAGCGCCTTTTGTCAAAAAGTTGGCATGTACCTAAAGGAAACCTCTTCCCACACCCACGGCTGGCAAAATCAAGGCTATGATACCATGATTGTAACATCTCTTTTGGAGAAGCCCCTTTGTGTCTCCTAACCAATTCAAGACAACAAATAATAAGACAGCCAAATCAATTGAGTAGAATCCCATATTACTTGCCTTAAATTCCAGTTCAAATAAGCCTAAACTTTAAACTACTAATTACTTGGTTCCATTTATCATTAACATTTAAGGAATAACTTACTACCAAACTCTAATTTCTATGCAATACCCAGATGTTTCAAGGGAGAGATTCCCTCTTCACATGCTCTGAAATCGAAAGTATTGATCTCGATGTCGCATGAACTTCAAAGGACGATCAACATTGTATGCATTTCAATAATTTTACAGAGGTGCCTTGAAACAAAATTAACATTCTAACAATTTCCTAGAAGTATAATTTGATTTTCTTGCTGGAAATTAACATCAACTTGATTGCTATGGGAAAGAAAGGTTAAACAAAGATCTATATATTTCAACGACTTTACGAACCTTCAATAAAAAAGGCATAAAGATAACTATAGTTCATACATATCTCCCATCAATTCTGTCGGAAGGCTTCGAGGAAAAATTCCAAAGTTGATGAAGAGCTGAAAAGCATGCAAATAGCAGGAGATAATTAGTTAAGGGTAACAATAGCTCATGGTAACAACATCAGAAAAAGTAGATCCTTCCAACAAAATTTTAGACAGTTCAACAACTAATTTTGGTAAATTATACACTTGAATGTGCTGTAGTTTACACGGATAATAATGATAATAAAATATAAGAACACCTGTGTATTGGTTGCAATCGCAATACCCCAAACTCTTCAACAGAAGAGCTGTTTACTTGAGTGCATAGACCGTCGATTATGATGCTATGAATGTGAGAAATTTTTAGCCAGTCCTCTCCAGTCTCCTTTCTGCAACGTCCTGAAAGAATAGGACTCTGACTTATATCCAATTGCCTTAGACTAGTATTCTGAAGAATGTAGCACGGTAGTTCCCTCAACTTCGGGCAGGAACCAATAGTTAGGGAACGAAGCTGAGGCATTACACTAATATGCTCTTCTTCTCTGATTGTCAATGGCATCCAAGATTCCCATTCTTTCAAATCAAAGAATTCAAGATGTTTTAAATTAGGGAAGGCAATAATAGATGATGAAGGTGATTCAGAAGATGATGGCAGTGCTGATGTCTCTTCTCTTTCTACACCCAAAAATTCCACTCCCACTTCTTTCACTCTTCTCATTTCCCCTATATAGAGTGATTCAAGGGACGGCAATTTCCCCAAGGGAGGCAAAAAGTTCAAATGCAAGCAAGAACCTAGTGAAACATGGCTCAAATTGGTCAAACCCATCATCCAATAGGGGTATATGGTGCGGCCACGGTAGCACCTTATCTCCAATTTTTCCAAGCAAGGAGGTGGTTCCAAAGCTTCAAGAAGGTCCCCATCATTTGTTCTCAGCAACCTTTCTGACATCAATCCCTTAGGAATAGCAAAATCCAGTATCAAAGTGCGTAGGCCTTCCTTTTCTCGAATTTCTGCTTTCTTAGCTTCAGTCAAATCACACACAGCTCCCAACCCACTAATCTTAAGATGCCCTCGAAGATACTTTAACATTTGAAGATCTCCAAGAGTAGATGCATTATTGTTATCAGTCACCACGAACACACTTAGTGTCTGAAGGTTTGTTAATCTTCCTATTCCTTTTGGCATTGCCATCAATCTCAAGTCTGTTCGCTCATTCTCAAGATGCCTCAAGTTGATTATTTTTCCAATTCCACTCGGTAATTCTTTTAGACTATCACACCATTTTAGGTTTAAGGTCTGTAAATTGCACAACTCGCACAGCGATTCAGGTAATTCTTTCAATTTTCTATTGTTTTTCAAGTTAAGATATCTCAAGTGAACCATATTTCCTATTTCATCAGGAAGTTCTTCAATTGAATTTCCAAACAAACTGTTACTCAAATTTAATGTCCTTAGACAAGTCAATTGATCAAACAACTTGGGCAAATATGGGCCTAGAGAGGAAGTATCATGATAGCTCGAGTCAACAAGAAGGCTACGCAACTTTTTGAAATGGTAAATGTTAGGTTCCATTGGTGTAGCTTCTCTACGTTTCAATGTTGCATGGCGAACCCTTTCAAAAGACGAGTCTACTTTTAACTTTTCAAAGCCATCACTTACTATCATCAAACATTCCGTTTCCATTAGAACTTGAAGAAAATCATGAACCAAATCATGCATTTTGTATTTCACAATACCACTATCAAGTTCATCCCTTTTAAAAACATAAAAAAAGGAACGCATCTTTAGCTCATCAAAATATTCCTCACCGACAATCTCCATCTCTTCAACCCACACTCCCTTCAGGTAATCTTGTGCCATCCACAACTTGATCAATTCATCTTTGCTTAATATTGTATCTTTTGAAAAGACAGCACAATATGAAATGCATTGCTTTAGAGCCAAAGGTAACTCATAATAACTCAAAGACAAGGGAGGGAAAAGATCTCGTTCAGCCTCTTCAATGTCCCATATTTCACTATCCAAGATACTCTGCCACTGTTCTCTAGTTCTCTTGAACCGCAGCAAACCACCAAGAATGCTCGCAGCAAGCGGCAAGCCCTGGCACTTTTTGGCAATTTTCCAACCGATATCTTCTAAATTTTCACTCTCCTCTCTTGTCCTCCCACAGAATGCTCTATGTCTGAGTAATGACCAACATTCCTCTTGAGACAAAGTATGTAAAAGAAATACGTTTGATGACATTGTTCCCATAATAGTAGCAACTTTTTCCTTACGAGTAGTTACCAAAATTCTACTCCCAAGAGAGCAATACTTGAGGGAATTTTTCAATTGCCCCCATTTTGTTGCATCTTCAGTCCACACATCATCCAACACAATGAGCATTTTCTTCCCTAAAACATGGCTACGTACTTCCAGCAAGATGTTATCCTTTCCAACTAATTTTGGACTTTCACCTTTAAATGCTTCAAGTATCTCTTTGGCAATCCTTATCTCATCAAAAGGGTCTGAGACACAAATCCATATTCTCTTGTCAAAATGACATTCAACATCATTGTGATTATAAACCAGTTGAGCAAGTGTCGTTTTCCCGATCCCCCCCATCCCTACTATAGAGATGACATCGAGACTTGACCCTCCACTACTATTCTCCCCAACCAACATATTCACTAGAATTGTAGTATCTTCAAACCTTCCATAAACTTCATCTTCATCTATGAAAGACGCAGTTACTAGCCTTTGGGATTCTTCAACGTCCTTCTCTAACCCAAACTTATATCTATCTTTTTCATTAGCTATACAATCAAGTTGTTGATTTATGTTTTTTATCTTCGATGCAATATTATAGTGTAGCATAGTTTGAAAGGTAAGAGAAGAGATAGAACGGCGCATCTTCTTGAACAAGGGGAAATTTCCGACTTCTTCTTCTTTCTCAAGCTGTGGTTTCAGTTTCGCAGATTTCCATTCATCCAACACATCTTCAACATCATAAGCTGCATCTTTGAGTTTCTTCAACCAATATCTCACATGACCATCCTTTACCTGTTGAAAACGAAGAAAAGATTTACAACATAAATTTCATTTAATATCTTGAACTCCAATAGTTTTAGTAATTTCATGAGCAATTTATTTGTAATCCAAATATTTTCAGTAATGAATCGAAGCCGACTATCTCCGGATTTAAAAATTCAATTCAACCCGCTTAGGCGCTTACAGCACACTATGATCGTTAAACATCTAGAAATTCAAATTTCAAACCCGAGATTTACCCAAACAGGATGTCAAATTCAATACCGCTTAAAGCGCTTATTTTGCGGGAGGTGCTCGAATTAGATGTAAAAGTCAACATTTTTCTTTGAAATTTCATATAAAATATTGTGTAAAAACTCATTTTGAGAGGAAAAGTATTTGATAGGGCCCCCATGGTTGACAAAATACAGTCGCCGGCTCTGAACATCATAAATATAAACGAAACAAAATCCAATTTTCAAACTCATCCATAAAAAAGACAAGAAAAAAAAACTAGAGGCCAAATTTACCTGTTTCGATTCTGCATCTTGAAGAACTGATTGAATATCTTGAAAATGAACAGACAGCTTCCCGATTTCTTCCTCAAGAGCCAGAGCCAACTCAATGTTCTGTTTTATCTCATCGGGTATCGTTATTAAGGAACCCAACTTCTCCAAAACGGCTGAAACAATTGATTTCGCCATTGTTTCTCTCTTCAGACTGAATTTCTTTTCGATAAAAAAATCTGGATAATGAAGCTAAAAACCGTGTGCGCGAGTGGTTCGCAATGAAATGAAATGGAGTTTTTGCTTTTCCTGTTTTTGCTTCCTTGGAAAGATAAAAACTTAGGGATTCAGAAACCTTTTTCCTTATTGATTACTGCTTTCTATGTACGCAATGAAATCATATGTCTTTAGTCTTCAACGAAAAGCAAAGCTACTGACGTGTAGAAACCTAGGGCTGTTTAAGGCGGTGCGGTCGGTTCCTTCCTCTGTAAGCGACAAGAAAGTATTGATTTTATACTTTACTTGTTCTAGAAGTTTCTAACAAGGATCCACGTGGACTGTTCCGATAAATACATGTATCCGGTAAATATGGGTACACTATGTATTTGTTCCTCCATCTATTTTGGTAATTTCGTTTTCGTCACTCAATTATTTATTTTTAAAATCATACGTAAGTTGCGTTTTGGTTGCATGTTGATAATCTATTGTTAAAATATTAACCGTGATGCTGACATGTCCTTACAAGTAATATTATGTTATTATTGAAAAAATAAAAAATTAACAAAAAAAATTAACACATCAATGATTTTGTTTATTTTTTAACAGAACAAAAACTTAACGTTAAATATGATTTTTTTTAAAAGCAGTTAGATGACTCAAATAGAACCACAAGAATAGATAAGTGGCTAAATGCTTAATTTATCTTAAATACAAGTATTCAGTAAAAAGATGGGTAAATTACAATATTGGTGTCTCAAAAGAATAAATATTTGTGATCGAGTCGGGAAGGATTGTCGATTTTAGACGACAATGACTATGATGTTAATATAGTATTGAAATAAAGGACTAGATGACGAAATATATGCATTGGTTTGGCACTTCTAGTGCGGCTGAAGAAGCAGCTCTCGCTTGAAACCGAGCTGCAATTTCCTTGAAAGGAAGCATAAACTTTAAATCCTCTTAGGTGACGTTTAGTTGGATGAAATCCTTTAGAATTGGAGGGAATTAGAATCCAATTCTACCACTTTCTCATGTTTAGTTCAAGTTTTCCAAGGGAATTGGAATCCCTCATAGATTCAACTTTCTATCAAATGAGGAAAAGTGAATTTCATCCAAGAATAGATGGAATTTAATTCCTTTGTTGGAGGGAATTGAAATTTGACCATACTACCCTCATCAATCTTTTGGTAACTTATTCATATATTGAATAAAAATATTTTATTATTATTTCGGGTCGGGTTCCTAATTGATATATTCGGGTCGGGTCGGGTGAAACTTTATTTTGATCGGGTCGGGTTGGTTTTTTTAAGTGTGATATTCGTGTCGGGTCGAGTTCAGATTTAGGGTGAAAAATACCCGACCCGAAAATATATATAATTTTACCTTATATATATTTAGGAATAATTACAATAATTCCCCTATATATATATATATATTCAATTAAGTCACTATTTTTATTGAATAAAAATAATTTTTTATTATTTCGGGTCGGATCGGGTTCAAGGTGAAAAAAATCGGACCGACCCGAAAAAATATATAATTTTACCTTATATATTTAGGAATAATTACAATAATACCCCTATATTTTATATAATTTTTTCAATTAAGTTAATATTTTTATTGAATAAAAAAATAATTTTTTTATTATTTTGTGTCGTGTCGGGTCGGTTTCTAATTCATATATTGAATAAAAATAGTTTTTGGTATATTTTTTTTATAACTAATTAACATACTCTGATTGGAATATATCGAAATATTGCTCTATCTTTTGGTAACTTATTAACATATTTTGATTGCGATGATTTTAACTTATGATGTTTATTAGCATGATTTTTATAATTTATTGAAATGAATAATCAATCAATAAAATGAAATTTTAATATTTTTTAATTTTTTATAATATATTACTACATGTAAGTTGTAAAACAAACTAAAATAAAACAAAAAAAAAGGCAATTCTGTCATTTTACATTACTGAAATCAAATTCATCTGACATGTGTGCGAACCAAACAAAATATGGAATTAGATTTCAATTCATGACAGATTTCAATTCCTTCACAGATTCTAATTCCCTCATAAATATTCCAACGAACCAAACGCCACCTTAGAATTAAGATCAATTTAGTAAAATATATAACCATTATAGACTAAATATGTTATTATACTGATTATCAAAAGGATAGATTGAAACTTGTGATGGTTTTTTCGATAGCTTGGGTTATAAAGGTATATCCTTGTGATTTCATTCGTCACGCTTTCTTTTGACCGCATAACGTCCATACCTTGTACTTTAGACGGTTATATGTTAGATCTCCAACTAACTTTATTTAGTTGTACCTAACTTTCTATTATTAGCCATTCAAATATCAGTGTATTTTTATTTTACTCATTAAATTGCACATCATTTTAGTTTCATTACTAACTTTTCTGATCCGAAATTTTTAGTTAATTACGCATGTCCCTAAACTATGATTCTTTTTTAAATTGACACTCAAAATTTTGAATATTCTAATTTCATCCCTAAACTATGCCTCTCATTTTAAATTAGTCCCCAAATTTTGAACAATCCAATTTTATCCTTAAACTGTAAACCTCTTTTTGTATCAGTCCCAAACTTTTGAATCTTCCAAATTCATCTAAATATATAATTAGTTTCAATGATAATTTAACCAAAGCATCATCTCTGGTTTCATTCAACAGCACACTTTGGTTCGACATTCGAACCCCTAAAAATCAAGTTACAAGAATTTGGACATGGGGTGATCATTGATTAATCCGGTGTAAAACGAATCGAGATCATCACTTTAGTTCATTTCTAAGTTTAACTACCTCCTCTTAACCTCTTCATCTGTTTTCCCATATCTTGTAAGATATTGAGCATACTGGGGGAACAATCATAAGTCCTCCAAACACTGCCAGATGATCGACACGAGACAGGTTGTCAGTCTCGCTGAATTTAAGTATGGTGTTTGACATGAAGCCCACATGCTGCTCGAAAACGTTACTCCCCAAGCTTGTGAAGCCACCGGATCCAGCTTGTAACTCATAATTTTGCCCTTCGAATTCGGTTTTAGCCCTGGGAAAATGGTGATTGCTTTCTTCATGGTATAATTGAAGTACATTTTGTTCTCGTCGGTAAGGTAAACGAAATCGTAGGGTCCAACCCGAGGCTAAAATACCCTGTTGTGACAGGAGACTTATCACTTCTCCGTGATGTCGGCCGGTTGAGACCAGTCTCGGAGTTAATCATCGGTTTCATCCTCGGAAGAAGCGAAGCTCTCCCATAGAACTCGACCTATGGAACTATCCCAGTTCAGTTGATGCAGCACGAAATTGCCAGAATCCTCAAGGGTAGCACTGATGTTACACGGTTCTTCAACTGTGTACAACACCACAAGATCAAGTTTGATGGCGCTAACTAATATCAATTGAAGACTATTGTTTGATAATTAAATATACAATTCACACATAATACAAAAATTAATATAAAAAAATTGATTTAGATTCTTTAATAATGATTGTTTGATTCATAATAAAAATTCAAAGTTTTAAAATTAATAATAACCAAATTATAATGTAAAAATTAAATTTATAATGTATGCATAATCTAAAAATAATAATTGTCATAATCATTTTTTGAAAAATTAAAATTTAAAACAATTATGACTTTATTTTGGGGAAATTTGGGATTTTTGTTTAATTTGAAATTTGAAGTTACCATCGACCTTTGAGTTAGGTAGGTAGAATACCTAAAAGCATCTTTTAAAACAATTTAAAGACAAAAAATTGGTATGCGTTTACCAAATATTTTGTAACACCCTAATCTGATTCGACCTGAAGTCTGGATGGTTAGAGTTTCACACGGAATCCCCTAAGTAGCTAACCAATTTTTTTTTGAAATCAATGACCAATTTAACATTCAAACATTATATGAAATACCCAAAGTAGTATACGTTTAAAAAATATAAATATTTAGAAATATGGGGAGCTCCCAACGTTAGTCTCCAAAATACTTAAACATAAATAGAGTTGACGAATCAAATAAAAATTAGGGTCTATGACAGTACATGCTCTCTACAATATTCGAGACATACTCTGAAGAAGGATCGAGTCTGGAAATCTGAAGTCTGGTGATGAGCTCCTCGGCGGCACCTAAGAACTCGCGCATAGAAACGCATTCCATACACTGAGCTTCACAAGCTCAGTGCCACACAAATAATCGTACTATACTATATGCATCCAACATATAAGCATGTTGCAAGTATGGTCATGAACAATTATATACACTAATACAACAATAAGAGTAAGAATCATGGTGTAGCTCGGGTCACTTAGCATCACAGAAACTCACACCCCTCTTTGTTTAATAAAGAACCTTAGGCGAGACCTGGGTCACACAGCTTCAACGTCTCCCTTATCTCAAGTTGAGTCCGGGGCACAGAGCATTGGAAGCTCACTCGGCTAGTCTACTCTTCTAGAGTACTTGGGATATGGTCGGGTCACTTAGCATCAACATCTATCAGACTAGCAATTTAAAGTACACGAGAACTGATATGGATATATCTAGATAATCCTCAGTCAACCACCCAATCATCATTCAAGTAACCCGGGTGTCATCATCATTTCCCGAGCCTCAAACAAATGCATAAGTCTTACAGAATCTTACTCATTAAGACCTTATGTTATCACACACTTATTAAGGTTTTCACTTGTATTCTTATTGTGGAGTTTCTCTTCTCGCTTAAAGCCAAACATTGTTCCTCTATCACAAACTAGCCCCATTACCCAAGTAATCACGATGGTACTAGTACTCCTCATTGGGTATACATACTCCTCTTTGTGGTATCGATACTCCCTTGAGTATCGATACCAAATTTTCCTTCGAAGTTTAAAAATTAAACTTGCGATCGGTATCGATACTCGTTTGGGAGTATCGATACTCAGCCCCACTTGGTATCGATACCCCTATGAGTACTGATACCAAAATTGGCTTCAATGTCTCTAACCAAGTCCCTGAGTATCGATACTATATGAGTAGTATCGATACTCCTTGATGGAGTATAGATACTCCCCTCATATTCTCTTTGAATTTTACCCTTACTCAATGGACAATATT